GTGTTCCAAGTACTCCTTCTATGACTGGCTCTTCGGCACTCTACAGGACTATAGTCTTCTCCGTAAGCGAGAGCAGTTCTGCGACTACGTTGTTCGCCGAGGAAGTCATGCCTTCTTTGAAGTCATCGACGTTGCCACTTCCAAACTAGGCTCCAGAGATGGAACTAACTCTATACCTCCTTCGGGTAGGTTGACCTCGTCGCTTCTTCACATATCAGCTTGTCAATGTCAAGCAGTTGATGCGTTTCAACCAGACGAATGTTTCCGCTATGGTCGTATACGGTGACCCGACCCAATGCAGGCGCCGCGCCTCGAGTAAGGAGCTGTGCCATTTGCGGCTGATGAGCAGCCCAGTTCGCACTGCAGGCTTCCGTCACGGGGTATCCACCTAGTTTGGAAAATTCGCCTAATGACGGGATATTGTCCAGTGGACGATTAAGCTGTATGTCGTGCAAAAGCTTAGCAGACACCTGCCGTTATAATTTGCGCTGTTTATACGGTGATACGGTGACCACCGAGTGCCGAGGTTTCCACTGAGTGACAACTGTGAAGTTATGGCACGACAAAGCGCTAACAGCCGACTGCACACAGTCACAGAAAACCACCCTGTCGCTGTCACCCCTCGACTCCTCGACACAATTGTTGGGACATCGGTGACAAGTCATTCAACGTCGCGTTTCACGTTCCCGCGACAGGCCGGGATTCTGTCCTACACGTGCTCCACAGACTTGGCCGTACGACACCCTGGAGTCGAGAAAATACCCACACCCGTACAGCGTAATCTGTTGTAGCCTGACCATCAAAATGACCATCCATCCTGTAGGTCAAAAAGGGTTCCTTTCTCCGAGAGACGAGCTACAATGAGATAAAGAAAAGTGTTTATGATACGAATACTGACCTGTGGTACTACGAGGACTATGACATGTTTCTCGTAATGAAAACTATGCGTCGCTGTTTCTGAAGTGGAACAATTACGAATGTACGAGAGCACGTGAAAAAAGCGAGGTACAGCGGAGTGTACGCTGTTCAGAAAATTTGACTCCCGTTAAGATCGATCATGAGCCGACCAACGAAGTTCTAATAATCACAGTTGACAGAGTTCCTCATAATGTTTTAAGCAGTTTGCCTGAACCGTTCTACGCAACACTTGCAACGAAGACGACGAGTCATGAGGAAGAAAAGTGGAAGATATAGGAAATATCTGATTGAGGAAATGCGGAAATGACCAAGAAAGGATTTTGCTGCATGATCGTGGTGAAGCTAAGACAATTCCTGCGAAATAACTGTGCATCGACTCTGTCGGTTCTGTGAACGTAGAAAGACACTGGGTCGTGCTATGTTTACTTTGCAGAAAGACATTCTGCTTACAAATCGAGATCGCCGTCAGTACTAGTTCCAAAATGCAAGATGCTAGAATCGTTGAACAGTGTCATATCATCTGGTCATGGTGACGACGTATAGGAGAAACCGCCTGAAGATCGGGAAGATGCTTAGTGGGATACTGTCAGTAAGGTAAGAAGATAA